CAGTTATAGTGTATTGCACACAAATATTTCAAATCTCAAGAAACTTTGCAAATGGACTAGGACATTATCCTCTTTCATTGACCTTACAATAATTTTCACCAATCTTGGGAGATCTCACAACTTTTACTTATTTATCTAACTACCTTTCCATCTCATCATTGTATATCTTTGGATAGTCCAATGATTGAGTCATTTCATGTGTTAGATAAATATAACATAACGTGAGAAATCATTTATAATGGTGATTAAATACTTTACATCACCCTATGAAGGGATGTCGAATAGACCACAAAAAAATTAGTGTGCATAAGTTATAAGATTTTAGTGCTTCTATCGACAGATGTCTTTAATGTATGTCTAGTTTGCTTTCCTTTAATTCATTCTATACATACATCTTGATCACTAAAATCGAAATGAGAAATTCATTATTCACCATTCTCACAAAATTTTCTTTGGATATGTGACCTAATATTTGATGCCATAAGAGAGCAGAATTTTTATTATGTGCTTATGTGCACTACGTTTAACCCCAAAATAAATATGGAATACATAAGTAGTTGCACAGAATCAAGCCACCTATTATTGGGAATCTTTAATAAATTTGATTCACAACATACGTAAATTTAATGTATATTTCCTTTTCGAATTAAGATTTTATTTCAGGCAATCTTTCTTGAGGTGGCCTAACAGAAATAACACCTCATTTGCTTAATGATTGAACCTATAAAAACTTTAAGTAAGCCAATCTCCTTTTATTTGCCTTTGTTTCCCATTTTATCTTACTATTATTGGCTCATTCGTGAGATATAAAATGAATCGACTCTTCTTTCATCTCATTTATTCCCGCCTCTTCCTGCACGCATAGCCTTAATTTCCTTACAATCTCATTTATCTTTAATGGTGTTATAGTTCACCAAGGATTGGCCAAACATGACAGGTAGGGAGTTCATGATGAAAAAAATCATAAATAAGTCTATCATATTCATTCTCATGTTTGCAAGTTTAGCTTATATGTTGAACATGTGGGTTACGAGATCATGGATGAAACGGAATCAGATGAACTTTTATAGTGGTAAGCTCGCTAATGAAACTTTCCATAGCAACATTTTCTGCAATTTTAAATGGAGATAATTTCTTGATTTGTTATTTAGGAATTCTTTTGTATTATTAGCCTTACTGTTATCCACCATGATTAATTTCATAAAATTCAAACACAACCTATTTGATCGCTCACATACCATACGAAGAGTTAGCTCTACTTCGGAGCTCTCATCAGTAATGGCTGTGGGAACTTTATCAATATTAGAGTCATATCCAAATTCATTGAACCTTTGGATATGCTTAGACCATTCATTGAAGTTCAGCCAATTGAATTTTTTCAATTATAATACTGTACGGATAACCAAATTTTGAACGTTACAAACTTCAATACATGTTATTTAGTTACGCTTTGAGAGACAATTAATAGATTCAGAAATATTTTAAATTATATATTTAAATATACCTTTGGGCAAATACTTAAATATATAATATACTTGATTGATGCCTAAGAGGAAAGATCTTTAATAGAAATTATAGGTATTGTGATTAATTAGTGGTTATCTTTGGACAAACACACTAATTAACCTAACTATAATTATAATTTCTCTTTTATATAATAATCCTTAATAGAAATTATATAATTTTGATCAATTAGAGGTTATCTTTGGACAAACACACTAATTGACCTAACTTTAATTATAATTTCTCTTTTAATTGTCATAACTATGAACACATGGCTCACCTTTGGGTGTCCTCCTGGTTTATAATCAATGACATCAATTATTCAAATATATAATTTGAGAAACATTAATAAGACATCATTTTATATTTGAATAATCGATACTTTAATCTAATTTATTATCTACTCCATAAATTAAACTAGGCCACTTTGGTGACTAACTAGTTTTCTTACATAGATAATATAATTAGAAAATATTTTATTTTATTGATATTTCATCTAATTTAATTATCTATTCCATAAATTAAACTAGACCACTTTGGTGACTAACTAGTTTCTTTACATAGATAATATAATTAGTAAATATGTGATGGATATTTTATGAGAATATTGTATGAGATATTCAAACTTTTAATAATCTCTGCAATTAGACTTGACAAAATAACAAAAATAACATTGAATTTCTCATCTATTCTAAAATCTCGGCCAACTTATTTACCATGATGAGTACTTTAATTCATTCGAATTAATTCATTCGAATAATGCTTTGAAAAGAATCTCATTATCCAGCAACCATTTGATGGTTACGCACTTGTAAATAATTCCAATAATCTAATTGCTGCTTACGGCAGATTAGAACTCATCTTAGAACACTTTCAGCAAATACAATTATTTGAATCAATAATCTAATTGTTGGTCACTTACGGCAATTTAGAACAACAATTAATCCATCTTTGCCAAATAATTCACAACATATGATAATCAAACAATTATTTGCGCCAATCATTCCCAGCAGGCACGAGAATCAATTTAAACAAACAGCACACATGAATTTCGTACAACTTTGATTGCAACAATTTCAATCATTGTACAGCAATATGAGCACAAACTTTAATCGGCAAAATAATTAAGCATAAACACATCGCTCTGATACCACATGTAAGAATTTAACGGGCATATTCATAACTATTATGCGGAATTGAATAAACGCTAAGCATGTAATTCTATCAATTCATAGAATATGGATCTTTTGCATAAATTAAATTGCACATACAAACTTACAAGAATCCATTAGTCCTTCCCTGTTTTCTTGTATGTCTGGCCGATTGTGGTTTCTGTTTCATTAGTCCTCTGTTTTCTTGTATGTCTGGCCGATTGTGGTTTCTGTTTCTCTCTCCTGCGACCTCGTCTTTTCACAAAGACCTTGATGTTGAGAACTTTATTTTCGTATCAGATGGGAGAGAGGGGCATGTAGTATATATAGGAGGAGACCTACAATCCTATTCCTACTAACATTCCTCATGTTCTAACTTATTCCTACTAACATTCCTCTGACTTAACTTATTGTTCAAGTCAAACATCACAAATTGGACTCTTTAATATTAAAACATTAATAATCCATTAAGTACATATTCACCTTAAATAAGTTTGACTATTAATTCAAGTAGGTACAACTAATTATATCGTCTACAATAATAGAATAATATATAAAATATTATTACTTAACGTCCATCCTAATTAATCCAACATAATATTTAACAACTTCACATATATAAATATTTAACTATACCATTAGACAAGGTGATAACATGGCTTGATTCTACGCACTGCAGTCAATACGGTACAATGATTATAGATTAATCAAGCATGATTAGTTACAAGTTGATGGGAAATTAAATTAATTTGATTTGTAAATAAAATTGGGCATCACATGAAAAAGATAAGGTTAGTGCTGATAATAAGCTGTCTTAGCGAACTTACACATATTCAACCTTTTAAATATGATTGATTAGAGATAGGGACAATATAAATATTTTTTTTTTCTTAGGTAAGTTGTAATGCAGTTGTAGGTTAGACTTTTCGTTTTAATTATTTTTCGTTTGTACGTAGATTAAATTATTCCAATTGTATCTATATAAAGAATCTTAAAATAATAATCTCATAGTTTTAATTTATCATAAAATCGGGATTTAAAAAACAAAACGATATACATAAATATATGATTTAAAATATTTAATGAAGAATATGTTCAACAGACACATGAGTCATTATTTTGTTTATTTTTGTGTAGAATTGAACGACATTTATTGCAAACGTACATTATTAAAGCAGTTAGATCAAATTTTAAAATTAATAATCGCTTCTTATATGTATTAATTAATTCATTCTATGTATATGTTGAATTTGATATATGAGATTAATTAATTTATTGAATAAAAGTATAAAACGAACTATTTATTTTTAACAAAAATACATACTTTTACTATTTTTTTTGTTTACTTTTATTAGGGATTAACGTATATTTCAATTTAAAAATATATAGATATGTTGAAAAGTATATTGATTAACCATTAACAATGTCTAATGATGTTCTATTGTTTAATTTGAGGATTATATATGGGATCCCCATGATACTCGTACTACTTTAATTATTAATAGGTTATTTATAACATTAAGATATTGAAATTTATGCTTCGCGAGGACCTAGCTTTGTTATTGGCAACCAAAATGTCAAATATTGAAACAATAACAAAAATAATGTTGTCTTAAATTAGATAAAAGAAAAAATAAGCCTTATTTTTATTTAGATTATTAAGATTAGCTCCAAGTATGTAACTGAGATGTAAAAATAGAATACATACCTGAAGAGAAAAAATGAGAGATTATTATTTCCACGGGAACAATTAGGTCAATCTGGTAGCCATTATTATTATGATTAAACTTATTTGCTTTTGCTAGAGTCGTTATTTGTCTAGAGAACCATTAAGATGTTTGATTTAATTGTTTCTAGCCAAAGGACGTATAAGAAATACAGTGACCTTACGGTTTTACTTATTTAGCCTCGCCTAATACAAAATTATCTTACAATCTGCATCTTTTGAATTGGTTTGATTTGTCTTACAATCAAAAAAGAACACGAGAGCAAATTAAACTCAATTAATCATAAGCATTCTCAATAATTTTAATATTTTTCACCAAATTTATTATTCACTTTTGATTCCCCACTCCGAATACAGAATAAGGCAGTAAATGATATGCTATATACTTTGTGTTTTACAAAAATGTAGCTAATTATTCCCTTTTTATTCACCACTATGAATAAAGAATAAAATTGTTTTCAATAAGCAACGAGATTATAACGTATTTAATTAGTCTATATTTTTTTATATAAAGAAATGTTATTTTGTAGTATATTCATTCAACTAACTCATCTAATTTCACCACACACACTTTTATTATAAAGCTATATTTAATAGTCAACTCAAAATTAACTTAGTACCATCAATTAATTTATAAATAAACTATCCAAACATGNAAAAAAAAAAAAAAAAAAATACATTACACCACATAAACCCTACTAAACACTTGGTATAATAAACCCACCTACACCATTTGAAGCCCTACATAGACTTTTCCCTTCTCTTACATATATGTTCTAGTCTATATTATACAATTATGAGACTCCAAATTGAAGGTGATCTAGCAACATTTGCTTGAATAAACTACATCACAATCCCTATTTTAACTTAAACAGCACATATTAATGTACATTTCTAGCAGTACCTAATCTTGATTCCTCTCAGTAAAAATATTGGAGTGCAAATGGTAAAAAAAAAAATGATTTTCTCTTTTGGTACCACTGTTTTACGGCTGTTTGGGTCAACGGAATAAGTCCGGGAAGGACCACATGATGAACTTGGCGAAGCTATCGGCCTCAAGGAACTCAATGTGGGCTGCTCGACCGATTATAGTGTTGAGGTTTCGGCCGTGTAAGGAAATGTCGAAATTAACGTCACATCGCATGAAAACCCGATGCTCGGAGGATGGGGCTCGGATTTGGTCCAAGCAATCGTTGAGCATTTCTAGAAAGACTTTGCCTTTTTTAGAGAAGTCTCCGGAAGATGCCGGGCAAGTCTCGATTCTGGCAGAGTGGTATGGGACATAACCGTCCTGAGAAAACATGAAACGAGATTCATGAGAGCTGAAATTCGGGATAAAAAGATAAAAAAGGAAAAAGATAAGTAGATAAATGAACCAGTAAAGTAAGATGAGCAGTAGTACCTGAGGTGAAGACAACAAAATAATGTTTTTGAAATGCTCCAGTGTCTTTTGCTGAAATTTTGGCAAAAATAAAAATAAATACAATATCAAGACATCGGCATAAAATTAACTAAGGAAAAAAAACACACTCTCTGTCCATCCTAATATGCCAAGTGATTTATTATACGAAACAAGCAAAAAAATTCCAATGTATACCAGACATAATAAGAGTACAAGATGTGTACCTTACACAGTTTGTACAAGAAAGTATTTTGCAAATCGGGATCATCTGTAAAAGTTAACTGGTGAATGCATTGTGTTCCTTTGAGTTTCTTCAAGAGCCACAAACCCCCATTAAACAAAGAGTTTGAACTGTAAAGATAACCGAGATGTGGGCCAGAGACAGAGATATACGTATGAAGGTATCTCAGATAAGGTTCCATAATGCTATCTGCAGACACAATATTATCACAATTACTAGTGAATAAAGAGCAGGTTTATTTATTTATTTTCTTTGGCTGTGAGGTTTAAAGTATAAACCTGTAAGTGCAGTTCTCAATATGATATTTCCAATGGAATGCCCAACAAAGCTAAGCTTAATTGTCGTTAAGACCCCAGTTCTGGATGCTTTATCCATTTTCTTTTTGATAAAAGATACAACCTCTTGTGCTAATCTTTCTCCCATTTCTCTAAAATCACCAGATGTCTTATCCTCATTGGCCTCGGACATTAAAAATTCCACCTTTGGATCTATCAGAAGCCACTGATTACGTATGAGTCTTAAGTCTAGATGATGTCCCTGCACACAAAATGGATCTTTTAGAATAAAAAAAAGTCCAGATGTTTCCAGATGTTTGTAGATGTTTCCAGATGAGCATATATCGTAAAAGCATGCCTGGAATCCATGGACAAAAACAACAATCTTCAGAACACAGCCATTTTGTCGAGTGGTGACCGGCAACTTGTTCGGCGGGTTAGCTTCGACCCCAGCTATTAAGGCATCGATATCTTTCTGGTCCCTTTGGGTAAAGTAAGAATTTCCACTAGTTGAACGTACGGGTGCATTAACAACACGTTCTATGACTACAATGGGTATGCGTGATGGGTCCCCGAATATTTGCAAGTCTTGAATAGACCGATTGTTCATCTGAAAAGAAAGGGCCCAAAAAAAATAATACTAATAATAAGAAATTGATTTTGATAAGCTCCCAACCAATTGATAGTTGTACCAATTTTGATAGGCTCACCCTCATCTGTGCAATACTTCGCCTATGAAGCTCCGCTCGCATGGTAGCAGTCTGTACAGGCTGCAAACACCAAACATATGTTAACCCCCAAAAAAAAAAATACAAATAAAAAAAGGTTCTTTATCTAAACAGAATTGCTGAAAATTGACATGATATTGAATTAAGGGCAAAAATGCACTTTTAGTCATGTTGGTTCAACGCCATATCAATTTTAGCCCTAAGATTCCAACTTTTTGCCTTTTGGTCCTATAATTTAAAACTTTGTTGCAATTTCAGTCCTCAAAGAACTGATATTGCATCTAAATTTTAAATTACCAGACTGAAGTTGCAATAAAATTTTAAATTACAGGACTTAAATTACTAATAAAAAATCCAACCCATAGTGGGAATTTGTTGCAATTTTAGTCCTCAAAGGACTGAAATTGCAGCAAAATATTAAATTACAGGACCCAAAGGCAAAATGTTAGAATCTTGGGACTAAAATTGCTATGGCGTTAAACCAACAGGACTAAAACTGAAATTTAGCCTGAATTAAGTGACATAGCTCAATAGTTACATCGACGCTTGGCTTCCGTAAATTTCCTCTGCCACGTGACCCATGGCTAGATGAATCATCCACCACACTGCTAATATATTGATGAGGCATCTCGACTTTAGTGTAGACCATCCAAATCGACCATTCGGCCTTTCGATCAGCCGCCCATTGATTGCGAAGAAGTTCGAGGATCTTCTTTGTGTTAGCCCTGAAAGTGAAAGGCAATCAGTTTCTGTACATCATATTCAAAATAAGCCAAAAAAGAAGAAAGAAAAATGTAAATTTCTTAATATTGAGAGATTATTAAGAGGAAAAGGCATACGACATACCTGTGATAGTTTAAAAACGTGGTCCACAAGTGAAACACTTGATTGCCGATCGAGTTGATTGACTTCATTATATCATCTTCGGACATAGCATGGAGAGAAAAACCGTCTTGATCAAAATCAACTTCACCGTTTGATTCCTGCTCAGGTAAATAAAAGCAGTGGGGATATAAATGTTGAAATCGTAAACAGAATAAGAAAGTAATGTGAATGCTAGTGACAAAGTTTTAGCACCTCCAAGGTATTATTGAAAGCAATGCTTGAAACACGACTTGAAACTTCACCATCAGCTATTTGCCAACTAGAACTTAGACTTGGACCAAACAATTCATTAGGAGTAATATCTTTAGGATCAATTGGCTCATTGATAGCCGTGCTAATCTTTTCTAGGTCTTCCAGAAGTATGTCGCGAGAACTCGATAATGATTTTACAAACACAGCCTGTTCAAGGATATACAATATGCATGGAGTTAAAGTGGCACTATGGAAAATTGCTGGCACTTGAATATAAAAGAATAAAGAGGAACAAAAAATGGACACAGAAAGAATTAATGACTCTGCCTAACATGAGAGTGATTAGCACAGAGAAACGAGCATTTATCAGTAAAATAGAAAACAAAGAAGAAAGACATACTTGCTGTGATTTATCATTCTCCCCGTTGATGCTATCTTCGGTAGCTTTCGCCTCACTGCAAGAACAAAGTTAGAAACTGGGACATCAAACAAGAATCTAGTAAGAAAAGTATCTGAAACGAGACAACCTATTCGTGGAGAAAAAAAGTATATGCCAGATTGTTATATATGAAGTAAAAAAAAATGCCGAAGGGTTTTGGTCCAAGTCTGGTCAGCTAGAGCCTGATACTTCCAATTCATCTCCAGTCAAAACCAAAAATAAAGAAGAAAATGAAACCATCGTGTGCACTGACATTATAACACAGAGGAAACAAACCTGGGTACCTTCAGCGAGGAATTGTAGACTTCACTTTTCAACAGGCTCACATGTACAGTGGTATCAACTAACACAGAATGAAAAGCATCAAAGTGAACAGGACAATATGCATGCAGCCCCATAAGAGCTTTGGGGGGAAGTCGAAATTCATGGACTGCAGCAGGGCTTGTATCCAAACAAGTCTGAAGATTTAACCTGGAACAGTACAATAACTTCAGTAACCCAAGCTTTCACATTTTTATTGATCCTATTCACCCAGTAAAGCAAATAAACATAGAAAAATTGGGTGCAGTAATTAACATTTGGGAAGAAAGCATTATAAACAAATGTCAGCTAACCTGTTCTCCAACACAGGACTGTACAAGAGCTCGAACCTCAGAGTAACAGAAGAGGTGGGTGGACTCTGGAATTGAAACAATGTAAAGTCGAATAAAATATCTAATTTAGTTATTATACTGTCACAAGAGGCACTTTCTGTTGTACCACAAAGCCAAATTTTGATCCCTCTCTAAAAAAATTGTATGAACTACTGTCACTTTTTAGGATAAAATATGTTGTATTTGAATTCCAAGAATCCACTTGTTTTTTCTATCTTTTTTACCACTATATCTGCAGATATTGTGCATGCACCATTTCCTATATGTTACATGTCCATAATTCCAATAATAATTTTACCTCAATTTTATTAGGAGAAAGATTAAAAGAGACCATCATTGCCAACAGAACATCCTGTCTTGCATATCTGATTCGAAACGGTTGTGTTGAAAAGCTATGGTCACTGTCATCAATTCTCCAGACGCCATATATATCATCAGAACCCAAATCAGGAGCTGCTCAAACAAAGGAACTATGTAAGCATACTATTTTTGTTGGTCAATGTCATGTGATTGGTTAACTAGGTAATCCTTTCTCCATGCACTTTCAAGGGGTAAAATGAAATNTGAAATTGAAAAAAAAAAAAAAAAGAAAAAAAAAAGCAAGTACTAGGAGATTGGAGGTGCTAAGTCTCACTGAACTTCAGAATACTCATAAGAGTCAACCCAATAGGGATGACAAGTCAATAGAACTTTGTCTCTCTTAGGGACCCATAAATGTGGTTAAAGAAAGTAATTAAACAAAATAGGTTGGCGCATATTAGATGCCAAAGAAATCTACCGATTTTTTTTTTTTTTCATTACAATTTTATTTATAAAAATTGCAATAGCAATCCACAATACTTGTTCCCCTTATTCCATACTTCAGTCGAACCAGAAAATTTGGCTACACAACACATCACACAGTGCAAAGGATCAACTAACAAGAGAGAAGATCAGTCAACTGACCATGTGTCAATTACCTTCATATTGTACAACTCTTGATGGTGTTCCAAAGGAACTAGTATCACCATCTTCCCACTTTATCGTGATCTTGAGTTGATACCAACTGGACAGGAAGCAAAAACAGCAGCATTAAAACCAGCAAGTGAGTTGAGAGAGAAGAAATATGAAGTTTAACTAATAATATTACACTCACCCTTGCTGAAACAAGTCGAGATTGTGAAATCGATGAATGTAAATGGATATCTCATGTACGGCATCCAAAACTGGCCCGTTAAACAATTCATGATTAGGCTTAAGGCCATTAGACTTCCCGGACGACTGCTTTTTTGACTGATGTAGTGTTATCTCAGGCAAGGGCTTCACATCAGGCCCATCTAACCTCTTAGCATTCATTACAGCTGATTTATTGAAACCTTTGATTATCCATTTGAGGCGCTGAAGCAAGACTGACATTTATAACAGTACTTGCACACTAAAAATTTGCATCCCTCCAACTCCTAAGGTCCAAAACCATGACTCTATTGGGTCATTTTTGGCCTTTGGGCGGAAGAGATTGCTGCATTTCTATATGAAGGTTAAATGTGGAGTACTTCCAAGATTATGTGTCAAACAGAGCCCCTTTACCAGAGAACTTCTACACCAAAAGATNAACTATTAGCTCAATCTTTGGTTTTACAAAGCCAATTACAATATACCAAACAACAACACATTTAAAAAGAAAACAAAAAAAGAAGAAAGACACTGAATCGTACCATTCACTACTTCACTGACAACAGGAAAACTTGTTATAAAAAGACAATCTGCAATTACTAAAGTTGGAGTCATGCTCCTAAAATTACTCTACCAATCATTTTGAGCATCTTGACATAGACATTGGAACTGGACTATCAGATAAGACTTTGTAACTAAATTTGTAATATGATCATTTCATAGTGACAAAATTAGCTAATGTGAGGAACAGAAATTTTATTTCTGAGTGTATTGTATGATAAAGATAAACTCTGGTATCTGAAAAAATACTCAACACTCCTCCCTCCATAAACAGCTTAGATTTCCGAAAAAATTCAGGCAGCCCACAAATCTATTTAGAAGCTGTGATTCAGTATGTCATCACCTGTACGTATTTGAGGGGACTTCAAAACATAAAAATACGAAAATTTCCACACATTATAATCTCAAAAGCAGAGAGAAATCTTAAAACATACATACCAAAAAATGAAAAATAAACAAAACCCCAATTGGCAAAAGCAAAACTTTGGAGACAACTAAATTCTTACGACTGCAACAGATTAAATAACAACAGCACAGACCAAAATGAGGAAAAATTGCATCTTTTTAAGCACAGACTACTCGGGCAGATGAAATGCAACAAAATTCCCAGGCATTGCAATTCAAATTCACTGATTCAAACCACAGGGTTTCTTCGTAACGATTAGAGAAAAAACCTGGAAATGGGGCTTGGGTTCCTCTTATTTCCGCCTGAATCTCTTAGAATCGGCAGCGGCTGCAGAAATCCTGTGATCCCGGCGGCGGCGGCGGAGGAGGCGCGTGAGCAAGGAGGCGCAATTAGCGGCGGGAGACAGGAGAAAGGGAGGGGGGAAGCTCTTGAGGCCTAAGGCCGTGTTTGGGCAGCTGAGTTAATTAGGAGGGAACCTTTTGGTTTACAACTGGCAATGGCATGACCCATGTCTTCCTCATTTCTACTTTATTGTAACTTCAACTTTATATAGTTATTGACATTTTGGTCTCTAATAAGACTAAGGGGGTGTATTTAATTAGGATTTTTAATGACTTTTTAAGACTTTAGAAATCCTGGTGTATTCAATTTAGATTTGTTAAGACTTTTTAAAATTTTTAAAAATCCTGGGGTATTTAATTGGGATTTTCAAAAGTCTTACAAAATCTTGAGGTATTTAATTTTTTTGACACTAGGATTTATTAAGACTTTTTAAGATTTTGTGGGATTTCTAAACAAAAAACCTTATATGAAATCCCACTTCAAATCCTACCTCCGGACTTGAGATTTCATAGAATTCTTCCAAAATCTGAAAATCCTAGAAAGTCTCAAATCTCAAAAAGTCTTAAAATGTCACTTAAATTCCGAATTGAATACACCCCCTTAAGGCATCTAATAAGTGAATTTTCAGCTTATAGCTAATATTTTATGACTTATGGCTGAAAGTTAGCTTATATATTAAAAGTATTTTGGTAAAATTAACTGAGTTAGCTGAAAATTTCTATGGACTTATTTGAAAAGTTATCCAAATAAACTTATAAGATAATTTTGAGTTTTTTAAAAAAGTTTATCCTAACAAACTAAGCTTATTTGAATATAAGAAAAATATAAGCTAATGAAATGAGTTGTAAATTAACTTATATACTTATCAAACACAGTTTAAACATGTCTATCTTTGCAATGATTTTGAACAAAAATTCAACTATAAGTCTAATGCATTCATCGGAATTTTTATTATTTTATATGTAAATATATAGATATGGGTCAATCCAACGATAAATAAGTCGAGGGTTCAGCCTAACAATTTTTAAAAGTTGGCCTATTAGAGGATTCGGATTTGTTTAGGAAATGACTATTGAGTAAATGGATCTTCTATAAAATAAAAGTTTACAAGTGAAACAATGAAATATCAAATATGTTGTCAATTGAAATCATTGCAAGACATGAGATTGTACTCAATGTGTCCCTATAATGACATAACCTTAAACATTGTATTCAAGTTTGAATTAATTTATGAAACCTATCGAGATTTATCTTTTATTTAATTTATCAATCTGCTATAATTGTATTTTAATTTTGTTTGCATATAAATAAGGGCATCTAACGCATCACATAAGAAAAATGAACAATAACTCGTTAGAACAATATAGCATGAACAATAACTCGTTAAAACAATATAGCAGTACAAAAACACACAAGTTCAACAAGAGCCACCAATGTAACCAAAAAACTCTTTATGAGTCATATTTTTGGAGAATTCACTCTCTTTGTCGATTTTCCAACATATCGGCAAAATCGTGTACTCCCTTTATTTTTGTATTACTTCTTTATAAGGTAGACTATTGCATTGTTCCCCACAAAAACTAAATTTAAATCCTTCTTAATTTCATAATTAAGATTTGTTGGCGTACAATGGATTTCTTTTCTTTGTCTCGTCTACTCTTTTATGATAAGGGCTTTCGATATTTTTATTTTTATTTCTCAACATTAGTCACTAAAATATAATGATTTTAAGAAATCTTCTTTTTCTATATATCTCAAAGCTAATTGCGAAAATGTTCTCTTTCCCCAAAATGATTTTTTAATTTACTCCCTAAGCTTTTAGAGCATGCTTTTGTGTTTAGGGAATGCAAACTATCGGATTTTGATTAATTAACTACCTTACATTTTGATTTAGACATCAATACACACATACATTTGTTGAAATACAAAACACCTTGACCACCAAAGTCAAAATTTACAAAATTTTGAAATAGCCAACATGAGATTAAAAAACCACTAATCAACGTAATCTCTCATATACTATACTATGAATTCAATTTTCACTAAATTACAACGATCAGACAATTAGCATAATCATAATCAGGAAATAAAATTTTCTACCTTTAAAAAAAAATAGAAATACAATTCAGATTATCTCCAAATTTACTACATCAAAAAGTTAATTATGCCAAAAATAAAAAAATACAATTTTNGGAGAATATTAATAACCTCGTGGGCTATCTTTTTCCCTCCAAAAGGCCACTCCCACGACCCGAGCCACGTGTTCCATCCACGTGGCTGATCTCCAGCTTGCCATGTCGGTATGTTGGACCGTCCATCGTGTAACATTCGTGGCTTTCCCGTATATAAATCTACCCTTTACGGGTATTTATGTACTTTCACGCAAGCCGTAGTTTTCACTTTTCAGTTCATAATAACAGACAGCCGAAAACCAAAAAAACAAAATTAAAAGAAAAGACCTCCAAACGGAAGCTCTTTTTGTCCAAACGGAAGCTCTTTGGAGTCTTTCGAGGAAATCCGGAGTGATGGACGCCGACGAGGTGAGTCTCGCGCCGCCGTATCCGGAGGACTCCGTCCGTCGTCGGAGCCTGCACTTTAATGTTATTTTATTCTGCGACCCCTTATCAACTACCTAACTGATTGCCCTCATTAACCGCCCTTGCATTTCCGTCATTTTTCTTTTTCTTTTTTCTTATTGTGTCAATTGTTTGTGGGTTTTGATTCCAAATTTTTGTTTTTTTGGAGCTTACTTTTGATGGGGTTTTGGATTCTTCAATGTTGTCGGAGTGGTTTGGGTTTTGCCTGTTTGTTTGAAGAGTATATCGCTTGTAAAGTTGTAATCTTGTTAACTCGAAAATGGTGGTTTGTATAGTTCTTGTGATTAAGTTCGTTTCAAGAATTCCAGGTGGTTTGGTCATGTTCTATTGATTGATGATGGGCCCTCAATTGATCTTTGTGTTTTCGTTAGTCTGTGTTTTTGCACTTCGCATGAAATTAACCATTTACTTTGATTCTATGCGATTTCTTGATTCTACTCGTTTTTCTTTTTTCACAACAAAGGTTAAGTTTTGCTCTGGCAGCAAATAATTTCCGTTGTTTCTGGCTTGCAGAGATTGGCGGGGTTGAAAAAGGCTTATGCTGACGTAATCCTCAGTATATCCAAGGAGGCAGCAGCTAGGGTTATGGCATCAGAGAAAAAGTCTGTGATGTACCAGCACGAGCTGAAGGTGGCGAAAGACGAGGGTTTGAGAATGATGCTGAGACTTAAGCAAATGATGGATTATCAGGTGAATCAAAGTTTAAGCTTTTCTTCAACTGATAAACATTAGTTATGAAAGGATTGCTTTCTGTTTTGAGTTGGGACTTTAATGTATGGTTTAGTGGTTGAATGTATTAAGGACAGGGATTTTTTTGTGTCCGTTGTGCATCAAAAGCTCTTGTTGATGTCCTTTTGTGGGTAAGTGGGTTATTTTTATCTGTTTTCATCTATACCATTTTTATACGGGATGAAGGTCTCTACGCTTGGTTCTTGTGTAATCTTGTAGTTGGTAGTTTGTGATTTGTCTCAGATATTGACTCTGAATGAAACATGCTTGTTAGAATGAGCTGTGGAGTGTGGGGTTTTTCTCTAATTAATGTGAGCCTTTTGTTTCTAATGGAACTCTAAATTTTACAGGGTTCCTTGATGAGTGAAAAAGGTGAAAACTTTGACTTAAACAAGTAGAAATTCTACAGATATTTTTTATTTTTTTTTATTTTCCATGTGTTCTGATCACGATGAGTCCTTTTCGTTCGTGGTAGTATCCCAACACGTGTCTTCGTTCTTTTTCTTTGCTGCACGGTCAACTGCCTTCACTAAAATGAGGATATTATTATGATTTGTATCCTGTTGTTATGATGTTCTATATCTTTATTATCTGCTGGAAAATTCTATGTAGAATTATGTAGTGTTTTGGTAAATTGTGATTTTAAAAATCTTGTTATGTGCTGAAATTTACGAATGTCTTCTACTTTTAATTTAGCGGCGAATGACTTTTAGCAAAGTGGATTTTTTTACAGAAATGGAAAAAACATTTAATATGTGTGTGCGTGTGTGTGCATGTTCTTACAAAACAATCAGAAGACGTCTGTTTTGCTCTCGGAAAGCAGAGAAGACTCTCAATCATCATTGTTAAAAATGGTTGATCAGATTCACTTTTACGGTTTTAACTCTTCTGTAAATTGTTGCAATGCGTGTAATTACGATTTACTCTATGCCCTTATTTCGTCAACCTACAGATTTACCAATCACAGGCAACATTGTTAAACCAGCAGAAGAAAATCGACGAGCTGGAAGCTCAACTTCAGGAAGCCGAAGATATTGTTAGTGACCTCAGAGCAGAGTTAAGACAGGCCCAAGCCGAAGTTGAGAGGGAAAAAAAGCCCAAGAATGAGTATCATGTGAATGGGCTTGTTCACACTTATCCAAATGAGAAAAACCCAATCATTAACAATCTCTACCCTTACCAATCAGTTGATTACCTTCCTCCAAATGCATCATCTCAAATTGACTTGCCTTCCATAATATTGAGAAGCAAAGAGCCAGGCCTTTACCGAAAAAACGGATGCACTCAAAGGATACGTGCGTGTGATAGGAACCTTCTGGAAAGGAATTTCAGCCTCTCGGAGGAGAAAGAGAAGGAGAGCAAAGAGCTTGAGAATAATAAGACATTGCCGAATATCAAGCCAATTGGGTTCGATTCTATCTCTTCGAAAGGTAAGAGGGCCGTCAGAAAGAGAAAGACTGTTATTCCATGTATCGGAACAAAATCTTTATTTTCTGATAGTGCAAAGCTGTCACCGGATAAGGATTTAACACAAACTCTGATAGAATGTCAAAATATTTGTGATAATGAAAGAGATGTTATCGAGTTTAGTGGTGAGAAGACAATTGGAATGGATAATAATGGGGTGAGTGAAGAAACAGATAATGTTCAGAAAGAGATTTTAATTTCATCCGAAGGTGCCAAAGGGATTTTTTTCCGGCCTTTGAGGGAAAGAGATTATAAGTATACTTTCCAAAGGAAGCGAAAGAGGCAAACTCCGAGTGAATCCAATATGAATGGCTCTCTTGAGATGGGGAAAAAGACATTTGGTGAGAATAGTGCCGATAAGAAAGTGGAGAAACTGAAGAACAACAGTTTGTCAATGGAGTCTTCACGAGACAGTAGGCGATTGGAGCAAGTTGCTCGGCAGGTTGGTGACCATATGAATGCTAATTTTATTTTAAATCTGTTAGTCACTTAGACCATGTTTGTTTACAAAATAATTCATTCACATTCAATTCATATTCAAAATATAACTCCACTTTAACCCAACCCCACTATCCTCATATTATCAATATAATTAAATAATACATACCAATCATTTTTACACATCATATCAACTTTAATTCACTATTCATCCACTTACAAGTATCACTTCACATCATTTCTTTTCTACTTTTACATCAAATCAACCTTAGTTATCTTATTTTAAATATTATTTTAATATAAAATCAAAATCCAACTAACTAAGCATTCAATTTTTTCAAAATTAACTCTGGTTAATCGAAAATCCTCGTTTGCATGGTTAGTTGGTTGATGCATGTGCATGTCCGTTTTTTTAATTTGGAATCATGTTATGGCCGCTGGCTATAACTTTTAACCTCTGTTGCATGATTAAAATCGAGGGTCAAATGATTTCCTGGCTTCATTTATATATCTCCTTGTTTCCCTTTTGAGGATGTTGTTTGATTTAATGTCTTAGATATCTACTTTTTATTCCGGTCGGTAACTTACAATGCGATCCTTTCTTATTAGGCTTTTAGCTTTTTAGGGGGAAAAAAGGAAGAATATAAAAGGAGGCAAGAGAATTTTAGTCCTGTTTCAAAATTAGAAATAACCCAAAGCAACTTTTGTAAAATTAGAAAACTAATCTCACGGTAGTTTCTAAGTCTTTGCAAGATAAATGGTGATTTTGCTTTTCATTTTCTCTTCTTCTTAAAATTACTTAGTTTGTGTTGCCTGTTTTGAGATCTTGACTAGCACGATTATAGAGCCTTTAGTTAGCAATACTTACACCTTAATGATAAGTCATATATGAATCTGATGCGGCAAATGAATTATAAATGTGATTTGGCCTATGGCCGATAGAGAATAGATGATAATGTATTTAGAACGTACAAGTCAACAAACAATATGCTCGAACGACTTTGATATATATCTTACTTTTGCCTTTGCTTGAAGTAAGAAATGTGCTCTGAAAATCGGACTCAAAAAAGGTGGAAAAACAAAGAAATTATGTTAAAGCTATGAGAAAATAAACTTTTTGCAGTATTTGTTCTTTCGATTTCTGTTTTTTCTGTATCACAATGAGGGTTAGTTACAGAAGCTACCACTAAAATTCCACCTTACTACGAAAACCCGGTATACCTTTTTTCCTCTTTTCACATATCGCATTTACTTGGATTTTAATTGCTTTGTGCAAGCATGATATATCGAATTCTTGAACATTATTTATTTATTTATTTATTGAAATTGCAGCTTATATCACTGTCTGAGAGCAAATGGTGGCATTAATGGCAGCTTTATCTTTGGACACTTAGAACGACTCTGCTAGATGGAGGTCGTTTCGAGTTCCTGACCATAAACAAAACTACAATGAGAGAGAGAGAATGAGTTCTTGATCTGGATTTATATACTGTAATTTAATCTTTATTGTGGTTAATCTACTTGATAAGTTCGAACTCAAGAATAGTGTTTTTTTTATTATCTATCAATGTTCTATTATTTTTCAGTATTTATTTGGCTATTCTTCATTGCACTTTCTGTTTCTTATGTGGCCGATTTTGTTTGAATTTTACTGCTTATATGTCAATCAAATCATCAAGATTGTTGAAGAAGAAATTACTAGTTGTAAGTGTAACTCGTTGCCCGTCCTTTTTTTTCTATGGCAAGTGAGTACCTGAGATTTGTAAGACAATCTTGCTTTATAGAATGGTGTTTAAGGAGCAAAAATCGTTTTTTCCAAGGGAAATTTGGATTATTTAAAAATCGTGATTGTAAATTGGTTTCCAACCTGAATTATGATACTATATTACATATGATAATATATTAATATAATAAACTATAATTTCATAAATATCTTTTAATTTATACATATATAATTATAATTCATGGATATCAAGAAAATAAAAAATATTGAATTTAGACAACAAATATCATGATACAATGAATTAATNTTTTTTTTAAATATTGTATTAACATTTGAATAGTACAAAAAGTCGGTGGAGTAGAAAAACATTGTTCTACTACATGGACCTTCAATAAGGTGTGATTAATATACCAAAATTGACAAAAATCGTATCTTAAAGTACCAAATCTGAAATTGAATCATGAATCGAAAAAATGGTTAAGCTAGAGGAACAAAATTGGAATATCGGTGGCACATTACTTGTAGGAAAAATCATTCATACACTTAGCAATGTTCGTGATATTTGTGTGTGGATCATTAACTTGTAATGAAGGAACCATCGTACACTTAGCAAACTTCGTAATATTTATTTGTTCTTCTATGTGACTTGTGACTTGCTGCGTGCATCATTAACTAGTAATGAGTTTTCAAGGGCAAATGCATGTGAATATGTAGGGAACATTTGAGTTAAATCTGCTTAATTTACTATTGATATGTAGGGGACATTTGAGTTAAAATCGCTTGTTAATATGATTTTGGCTTTTGGTTAACATCACTTGTTAATATGAGATTCACTAAAGTCGGATTCCCATGTTTCATAAATTAATAAATTCCTTAGGACTTCCTAACATATGCAATTGTAATTGTTTCAAGTGAAGAGACCATTTTTTTTTTTCAATTGTTCAAATTGATAAAATCTACTCCAGAATTATTTTATCAAAGGGTATCCTTTATTTCAGTTACCATTTTCACAAAATACACCAAATGCTACTCCCAAATCCCAATACATCCCCTTCATTTGTGCACTGCAAAGAAAATTTCGGCAAGTGAATTGCTAAATACTGCACCCATTTTACTAATATCGTATCCTAAAATGACAATTTTGCCTTTTATTCTTATTTTTTTTAAAAAAATAATATCCCACCTTCTAACCTATTTATCGAACCAAACACCGAAAAATTCCAAAAACACCTCCAAATAATTCCGGCGAAAAAATGCTATCCAACAAGACCGGTCATGCGGGGGTCGGCCGGTCAAACGGGCCGGTTTCAGCCGGTCAAACCGGCTGGACTGGAACAAANGCGCGGCCGGCCGCTGATTGCGGCCAGTGGTGGCTCGGCCGCATTGCAGCCGCAACTCGCGCGGCCGCACCGTAATTGCGGCCGCCTCTCGGCCAGTCGGCCCTTAATTGCGGCCGGCCCATTTTTTTTTTATAATTTAAATATTTAAAAAAATATATAATTTTTTAATATTATCAAATATCAAAGAAACCAATTAATTAATAATTATTAAAGCAAGTTGCTACAATATTTATAGTCATTCCTTGCCTTTCACTGAATTTTCTCATTCAATGTGGGATAATTGCAAATCAAAGTTTTCACTCTCCCAACCTTTTATAGCCACTCTTGACCTTTATTATTGTGTTTGTAATCAATGTGGGATTGTCTCAAACTACTTTTTGCATTCTTTTTTACTTTCAAAATCAATGTGGGACTAAATGATCCATGCTTTAACACACTTTCACTATGTAAATGATACATGCTTTATGACATTATCATTAATTAAACTTATTATTATCTTAAACTGATAAATGATTAAATTTAACTAAATGAACATGAAAATCGTAATATATTCTAATATATACCATAATAATTTCTAACTTCTAACATAATAATAATAAATTCTAATTTATAACATAATCAATTCTAATCTTAATACAATAATTTCTAACCTCTAACAAAATAATAATAAATTCTAATTGCATTTCTAACAATTTGTACATATAAATTAATTTGTATTTTTTTAAATTTTCGTGGTTTTTAATTTTTGTTAATTAAAAAATATTGAAATATAAAAAATATATTTAAATAATTTCATATATATTATTATATATTTTATAATAAATTAAAAAAATTAATAATTAAGTTTGATTAATAATTAAAATATATTAATAATTTAAATTAATATATATTAAATTATATATATTAATATTTTCATATATATTATTATACATTCATATATATGAATATGTATAATTTAATAATATTAATATATATTTTATATAAATATATATTAATAGAATTAATATATTATATAATATATATTATATTAATATAGTTATTATAAATTATGATAGTATAAAATATAATTAATTATAATGAAAAAAGTATATTAATATGATATGGGATATTATATAGCTGAGGAATAGACCGGTTTGCATCATCGGTCGAGCAACCTCGAAGTGGAGAAAACCGGATTGGGAGAAAGATGATCGACCAAAAAGGAGGAGATCGAGCAGAATAGCAGAGCTGGTCGAGGATCGACCAAAAGGGAGGAGATCGAGCACTCAACAGGTGAAGAGCAGTCTAGGGCGTGGCTTGAACGCGAGAAGGCGCGTGGATGACGTTAGAAGATCTCAACGGCCTGCGCAGAATAATAATCTCCCTCAGCTCAGAGGGACACGTGGCGAGAATATATTGGTGCAGAGTGATAGTGGCGAAAACTACCCCTGACATCTCTGACACACGTACACTATGTGTGTACGGACGGGCAGTACGGGCAGGACAGCTCACCAAAAGCAGGGCAGTTTTTAGGGCAGGTATCTCACTCCTATATATATGGGAGTGGGTCTTTTCTTGTAGCCTACGATTTATCCATTCTTTACTTTGGAAAATTGAACAAACACATACTGACTTAAGCATCGGAGGCTCTTCACCGGAAAACCCCTCCGGTGTGAGA